GCCCAGCCCATTGTGGGCGGTGCTACACCTGAGCTGGTGTCCTGGGTTCTATAAGAAAGCAGTCTGAGCAAGCCATGAGAAGCAAGCTAGTAAGCAGCGCCCTTCCATGGCCTCTGCATCAGCTCCTGCCTCCAGGTTCTGCCCCTGTTTGAGTTCCTGTCTTGATTTCCTTTGATGATGAATAACAATGTGGAAGTTTAAGCCAAAGAAAAATAAGCCTTTCCTCTTCAACTTGCTTTTGGTCTTGGTATTTCATCATAGCAACAGTAACCGTAACTAAGAGAGTACATTAGAATTAAATATAGTTCTCGATTTCAAGATCTTGAAAATGAAGTTTAGTCCTCGAAAAATTTAGTCTTATATTGATGGAGGAAGGTCATTGGTTAATTAAATAAAGAAACTGCTTGCCCTGATAGGTTAAAACATAGGTGGGAGGAGTAAACAGAATAGGATGCTGGGAGGAAGAGGAAGTGAGCTCAGACTCGACAGCTCTGCTCTCTGGAGCAGAGACACCATGCTCCGCTCTCCCGATAGCTCTGCTCTCAGAGCCACATGCAATGAAGCTCCGACCCAGGATGGACCTAGGCTAGAATCTTCCCAGTAAGCGCACCTTGGGGTGCTTACACACATTATTAGAAATGGGCTAGTCCAGGTGCAAGAGTTAGCCGAGAAGAGGCTAGATATAATGGGCAAGCAGTGTTTAAATGAATACAGTTTGTGTGTTGTTATTTCGGGGCATAAGCCACCAGGCGGCCGGGGTGCTGGGGACGAAGCCCTGCTGCTCCTATTTCAACATTATATAATCAAGATCTTGAAAGAAATTTAATTTTTCATCATTCCCAAATACTTACATTTCTATATAATATAGAGAGTACTCAGAAGTTTATATTGTGGCAAATTTCATTTTTCATTTGTCTAAGCTTTATCGCTTTTTAAAATGAGACAAAAATCTTCCTGTCTTCTAGTCCATAATCGCAGCAAACATTTCTACCTAATATTTATGCACAGAGATCCCTACTTTGTATGCTTATTCCTTCATAGCAAAAAATAACCATTTTTTTAAGAATAAAATTATCTAAAAACTCCTTATCAAAAAAAAAATGTTAGGGAAAGATCTCTGAAGGTCAAAAAACAAAGAAAAATCCAGAAACCATTTCAGTTAGAAGCTGTCTAAGAAGAAAAGACAACTAAACATTACTAGAACTCAAATGGTATCATAGAACAGAAAAGAGTAACATACAGCCTTCAGTTAACAATATGAACATATCACATGGCTACAAACATACCTTCTTGTTATGATAAAAGGAGAAACTTGGTGCAAGAAAAACAGGAACTCTACACTGTCTTTGATATTTGTTTACAAACCAAAGCTGTTCTTTTTAAAAAAAAAAAAAATGAAATCTACTTGGAACTGAAAGAGAACGCCGGGGAAGATGGGTTAATCATCCAGTAAGCATGCTATTTCTTTTAACATAAAACCTTGGCAAATCAAACAATACTATCCTCAAAAGTTATAGTCAGTCTAAGCACAGGAAACATTAACAACTCAGTTACATAAAATAATCTATTATACATGCATCAATTTTTGCAGGTCAGCATTTGTAAGAGAGCTTGCAAAATAGACACTTCAAGTTAAAATCCTTTTGGAGAGTAGCCCTTTCAAGAGCCATATATGAATGCAATATATGTATTCAGTACTTTACCTCACTTTCTGTTAATCAAAACTCAGATGAAAAAGTAAGAGAAGGCAAGAAGGAATGAGAGAGGAAGGGAAAAGAGGAGGGAGGAAGGGAAGAGGGAAAGCGAGCATGCAAGTGCAGCAGAAACTAAAGATTTCAAACCAACAGAAACTCAGAACTAACACAAACATAAAACCAACACCTATGTAACCATCACCTGTAAGAACAACAGCAGGTTAAGAAAGGTGGCACACTTCTGCAATCCCAGCACTCAGGAGTCTGAGGCAGAAGGATTGCCACAAATTCCAGATTAGTCTAGGCCACAGAGTGTAACCCTGTCTGCAATAAGCAAAGAAGATATGAAACTAAAAGATGCTGAATAAGATTCAATGTAACTAAAATGTAATTCTGAAAAGGTAGAATAAAAATTATAACACAATTTAGAATTCTTTAAATTAGGAAAAAAAACAGAATCAAGATATCCTGGAATAATATACCCCTCCCAAGAAGTGTATTTTAGTTAAAGTTTTAAGTTTTTGAGAGAGATGGGACTGGGAAAATAGCTCAATCATAAAATGTATGTAGTACAAGTTGCAGGACCTGAGCTCAGTCCCCAGAAACCACAAAATGAAAGACCGGACAAGAACCTCCTTTGTAACACCAGTGCTGGGGAAGCAGAGACAGGAGGTCTCTAGGTTGCTAGCCAGACAACCTAGGCTATATGGGGAGCTAAAGGAAAGTGAGAGACCCTGCCTCAAAAATAAAAAAAAAAAAAGATAAACAGCACCTGAAGTGACAGCATGAGGGTGTCCCCTGGCCTCCACATACATTTGCATACACATGTGTGTATAACTATACATACAAGAGGATATACACACACGCAATATAAATTTTTAAGGTTAAAAAATGATACCCTCATCTCTTTATCCTACAAGGCACCTGCCTATAAGTATTAGATACATTTTTAATTAAAAGTCTTTATTAATTAGAGGGAGAAAACTGTGTGCCTGTATGCCACGAAGCATATGTGGAGGTCAGAGGACACCTTCAAGGAGTCAGTTCTCCTTCTAACTGTGGATCCAGGGGTAGACTGAGGCCATAATCATGCTTGGCAGCAAAAGCCTTTACCCACTGAGACATCTTGCCTGCTCCTTAAATGCATTTTTTAAATGGCTGATCAAAATACAGCTGAAAATTAATCCTCTCTAAGACTATCCAAAAGCAGTGCAAGTATCCAAAGCAAATAAATCAGCAGTAGTTTTCTATAATTAGGATATGGTGTCAGAAGAAAAATTGTATTTGTGTCTCAAAATTTTCTAAAAAAAGTTTAAATTCTTAAAATAACTTGCTTGAAATATTTTAGTATTTAGAAAAGCAACAGCCATAGTTTTTTGCAAAATACCACACTGAAAAACATATTTACTAGTGTTAATACTTATTCAAAGAATTTCTTCAACATTATTAAATGATTCCTACAGTCAAGCTAATTAGACATTCCCATCATGCCAGTTTTTCTGTATATGGAGAACACATAAAATCCACTGTCATTGCAAATTTCAAGCAAACAATAAAGCATTGCTAACTACAGTCACCATAGTGTGCATTAGTTGTCTGTGTGGCATACTCATTTACTTAACTACAGCTCTGGATTCTTTGACCGATATCTGCCTACTGCCCCCGTCACCTCTGTATCTCTGGAAACAACAATTTTACTCTCAGCTCCTATGGATTCAGACTTCAGCAGTACTTCTTAAAAGTACGTACACAAGGGCTGGAGAGATGGCTCAGAGGTTAAGAGCACTGGCTGCTCTTCCAGAGGTCCTGAGTTCAATTCCCAGCAACCACATGGTGGCTCACAACCATCTGTAATGAGATCTGGCGCCCTCTTCTGGCGTGCGGGCATATATCGAGGCAGAATGTTGTATACATAATAAATAAATAAATCTTAAAAAAAAAAAAAAAGTATGTACACAAATTGTTTCACGCAGAATAAAACTTTTTTCTATGATTGCTTAGCAAATGTATAAACTATAGAAAAACTTAACACTGATTATGAATATGGGAATTTCTTTAGAAACATATATATCTAATTTATTTTAATTGTATGTGAACTTTTACTTTTACCAAAAAAAAAAAAAAACAGTGAAAAAATAAAGAAAAGAACAAGCTAATATTTCTCTAATTTAAAATCCTAGTTATAAAGACTGGTTATAAATTCTTCCCACACAGCCATACCAGTTAGGAAACCTAAAATATGACTCATTTAATCTTCATGGTCCTTGTGGATATTTATAAAAAACATTCCCTCTCAAAGCTATAAATAGTATCGTAACTTTGAAACCAGGCTTCAATTCTGCATGGACCAGAGTTAGTTTTCTATGTATCTTTTTCTTCAATGCCACAAAATCTTGAAAACTTACCAGATTCTACTGAAAAAAAAATAAAGATTAAAAACTAATGCAAACTCAAAATATTCACATTCCACTTCAGGAGATATTTCATATAACCATATGAAATGACTTCTGGGGGCTGATGAGGAGACTCACTAGGTAAATGCTTACCGCATAGGCCTGAGAACCTATGCTCAATCCCTTTAACCTACAAAAAGGTGGAAGGATTGAGTCAACTGCACAGTTACCCTTTGACCGCTACACATGAGCCCTGGCATACATGACCCCCCCCACAACACACACATCCCACATACAATAATAATAAACTAAATTTAAATAATTTGCAATAAATATAAAATGACTTGAAATTTTATAATACTAAATGTAAAGGTGATGATAGGCAATACAACTCCAAATATTTGTTGTTATATGAAATTTCTTTCTATATATTTCTATATGAACTATATAAAAAATTCATATTTATTCAATCCTCATTTTTCTCATTTTTAAATTATTTACTTTTTTATTAAGTAAATGTGTTATTTTAAAGTTTTTTAACTGTCACAAAAATCTTCATTCTCCAGAAGGAACTCATAAAAATGAAAAGATATTAATAACAGATATTCCTAAGACTATTATTTGCAAGGGAAAAAGCTCATTATAATATAAGTAAAATTAATTAAATTTCAAAATTAAAACCAATTATTTATTTTAATCTCAATAAATATTCAATATTCTAACTTATCAATGTATTCCCACAAAATAAAAGCAAAAATATTGTTATCTATTCTATGTCATCTGTCAGATTACCAAGTACAAATGAACATAAAAGCATTTAACTTTTTACACACCACCAACACACACTTGTGAACTCACTTGGGTAAATACGGATCTTTCCAACAGCAGCAGCAGTTTCTACAAAGTTATTTACCTTGTCCTGGTTTTGCAGTTACAGCTGCTCCAGCAGATGGCGGCTCAAACTCCTGTCAATTACAATCATGTTTAAATTACGCAGTCCCGAATACAATGGAGAAGTTGTAATGAAAAAACAGAGTCACAGTTTTACCTTTGCTTTCTTTGATTCTGGATCAAACCTTTCGAGAATTAACTTAGCTGTCTTATAAGTTTCTTTTTCCATGACTTCTTCAAGCTACAAACAAAAATTCCCATAAATTGTTATATTTTGAATCATTATTTGTTTTTATAAATCGTCTTCAAAAGATATTAAAATCTTGGAATCAAGAAAAATAAAATCACCCCCTCCTGTTTGTACTTACATTCAGCAAATATATCTAAATAGAAAGATTTCCTACAATCAAATAATTAAAATCCAAGCTTTTAAAATAGTTTCTAACCTCTAACACATTGCTTGTATTTTAGCAGCTTTACTGTAGGAAATACCAAATCTGGCTAATTGTTTACATATAATGAGGAGAATAATCACATGCACCGACTGCAATAATGGAATGTGCAGAAATCTATCAGCCATCATTATCGGAAGTTATTAGACATGACAAGCAAGTGACAGGCAATTCCTCAGATTTATTTCCTCATAGCACTTAATGCTATTAATTTAAGAAGGTCGTTAGCCAAGAGCTTTACAAAATAAAATCTCTGTGCCAATTAACTGCTGTCAGCATCGATTTTAGATTATTTATTAGCAGAAGCAATTAGCTTCTGAGAGTGCAGTGAAAACTCACTAACTGGAGAACAGCCATGGCTTTGCTCAAGTGACTCAAAAGCTAACGTCCTCCCCACCCCCTTTATTATTTTTTTTTTACTTAGATTCAAACGACTTTAGAATAAAAAAAAAAAATCCAACAGGATTTAAGTAAAATTTGTATTGGGTTTTACGCTCACACTAGGGCCTGTAATTAAAATGCTTCTTGTTCCAGCACTTTACTTACTATGCTCTCAAGTCACTTTAAAGTCTAATACAGGGGTTTGATTTTAAAAGTAATCACTAGTAAAATATCACTTCAGCAATACTTAGAGTTAAGATCTAGTCTAAGATAGTCAGCACGAAAAAAAAAACTACGGTGTAATATAAAATGCTTTTGGAAAAATTGGAACAGGACCTTCTCCTTCCCAGTGACCAATAACCACTTAGATTCATTATAGGTCGTGTTCACTCCAGGGACACTTACTTTAGAAAGCGACTCGAATGACATTTACTTAGCTAAAGCACAGCTTTAAAAGAAATAACCCAAACAATAGAAGTTAATAGATTCCCCATTAAATGTTCAACATTTAAGAAGCTAAGTTCTGAGAAGATTAATGAATCTCAATTTAGTAAAACTAAAATATTTTACTAATTATTCCACAATTATAATAAATTAATAATGATAAATAATATATAATAAATAAAGTTACTTTAATTTTATAATATAAAATTCATTTTGGACTAGAGAAAATTAAGAATGAGGTAGAGAAAGGGTATCACAGAATACATCCCCAAATCAATGTCATTATGGAATATTAAAGAATTTAATCTCTGATGCTAATGCTTTTTAGACCTCTTGTGAAACAGAACTCTCAGTAACAACAGAAATGCTCTACACTAGCACAACAGAAGTCACTAAGACGAATATGGTGAGTGAGCACTTAAGGTGTTGCATTGTGACCTACAGATAATCTACAGTTTTATTCCACTATGAATAATAAAAACGTGAATGTCAGGGTGGCAAGAAGCTACTGATTCTATCAGCATAGTGACAAGTGCAGCCTACTGCTCTGTTTACAAAGACTGGAGTATTAAGAAAATTAAGCCAGGCTCAGAGAAGCAGGTATTGTATGTTTTCTCCTGTAGGTCATTCCTAGGTTTTATACACATACAAAAACATGTGTAAACATATGACGTAAGTGAGAGTGTCTACGGGGAAAGGACTAATGGAAGTGGGGAGACCAGGGAGACACGAGAAGGGAACTTGCTCAATACAATACATACTTGTGTCAATATGCCCTTATGTAACATAATAAATATAATGACTATATGCAGTGAAAGTTTTTAAAAGATAAAAATGTTTTAAATTTTTTAAAGGTTAGACAAAACTGTCATCTTTAACAGAGAACTCAAATCAATGCTATTTCAACAACTGCAATTCCTAGTAAGTCAGTCAGCCTTAATATTCACGTGTGTGTCTGTTTCATTTATTTTCCTTAATAAGATAATTCTAAAGTACTAATTGATACAAACCCACTCCCCATTACATTTTGTAATTGTTACTAAAATTCTTTTCATATAACATGCACCCATCATGAGATACTGTGCTACCGCAGGCAAGCAAGTGATCAAGGACTAAAACCTTTAAAGTCAGGAGCCAAAATGAATTGTCATCAGTTTAAGTTGAACACCTCAGTTCTTTATCACAGCAACAGAAAACGAATCAACTTATTTTACTCCAGACACAAGTACACTAAACAGACTATACTTGAGTAAATTCCATCTTATGAGTTTTCTATATATCATACTATCAGCAATCACCACCATTTCCACTTTAATACTAAAAGAACGGGTAAAACTACAAAGGCAAACCCCAAGATCAACTCACTTATACAGACTTTCATGTGCCGACCTCTGAGCCCCTCAGCCCTTTGTCTTACTCTAGTACTCTTCCCAAAACACACAAAGCATTCACGAACTAGCCTCACAATGGGTATCCGTGTGCGCACCATTGCAGGGGTAAAGCAAAAGATACTAGAAAAAATATCATAGTCTCTCATTTCAGTCTTTTCATGTTGAGTTTCTCTTATAACTAATATTCCTCTCTCTCTCTCTCTCTCTCTCTCTCTCTGTGTGTGTGTGTGTGTGTGTGTGTGTGTGTGTACTCTGTACTAAAGAAACCTAAGAATGAACACAAGTATACATTTCCTCTACTGGGGCTCTAAAACACACTCTGGGCACTCACCTTTATACCCTCTGCCTCATTTAGTTCTTCAATATGAATTATTTGCTTACTTTCCAACTAGCATAGTTCTCAGAATCTAAAAACACCACATCTAACCTTTTTCCTGTATATTATCATTAACTACAAAAAATCATAATTTCAACATCAAAATACTGTCAAAAGTGTTCCTTGAAGAGTCACTAGGGTATAATACATAAACATTAATTATTCAGTTCTTAACTTATTTATATAAATTAACTTTAGATAAAATTTAACTTACTATCTTTTTCTTCTGGGATTTTAAATCATCCAAAGCTTCGTCTAGAAAAGAAGATTTAAATAAAAGCTAAATCAAATATTAAGATGCTTAGATATGAAACTCAATCATCATAAATAATATACATGAAGTAAACACAAGAAAATGTCTAGGAGTCCTCTAAATTTATCACATATGCAGAGATAAAAATTATCTTAATGTTTACCCATATATTTCATATTCTGGCTGTATAATACATTTCAAGATTCAGGAAAAATATTAATGGACTTTATATAGACAAAATTTTTTGAACAATTTATTTTTATTTTATGTGCATTGGCGTTTTGCCTGCATGGATCTCTGTGTGAGGGTGCCAGATTCCCTAGAACTGTCTTGCACAGAACTAGAGTTTAGTTCCAAACACCCATATTGGGCAACTCACAACCAATGATCAAATGCCCTCTTCTAGTCTTCGCAGACATCTGTACTACATACATGGGGCATATAAATACATGCAGGTGCACGCGCGCGCGCGCACACACACACACACACATAATAAAACTTTTTAAGTGAAAATATTAAGTGTATTTTAGATAGTGTTTGTCAGAGATTAAGCATGTAGTTATATTCAAAGAGGATAGGGATACCAAAAAAATAGGATAAGGAAAAGTGTAAGAAAAAAAAAATCAAAAGTATCTCAAGATAAGTGGTTATTTGGACTCGGCCACATATCCTGAAGCAGACAGAAGTGAGGTCGTATGGAAGGAGGATATTCTAAAGGCCATCTACTTATACAACCTTATTTACATATTGAATCAGAAAAAATATTCTTAAAGCAAGTAGAACTACTTAAATTATCAGAATTTTTATATTTTATATTAATATTTCTAAGTATGATTAATGCATTATATTATTATTATTCTATTTTAAAATATACTTGAAAATAATGTAAATAGTGAAGATGAAGGCAAAAACAAAATTAAGATAGACCAGGAGTTGATAACTGTTTCAGTAGAATGACAGATACTCGTCAATTCAATATACTAAACTTTGTACAATGGGGGAAAAAAAAGAAAAAGAAAAAGAAAAAGAAGCAAACGATATAGAAAGTTTATTTTTAGAAGAATGTAAAGAATGTATACTTCTCATTGAACACAGAGAGGTCAAGCTGGTGCTTAGCTAGGGCCTTTCTGTTAGTGAAGACTGGGGCTCATGTACTGAAAGATACTCGATACTGCAGAGGGAAAAGACCAACACCAGCCCAGCTACAAGCCCCGTGGTCCACGCTGTGACTTATCTGCACGGCACTCTAGTACAACAATGGCACAAAAGCTGTGGGAGTAACCAGTTGCTCTCTACTTAGAAGCTGATTCTTTATTTATATATTTCAGTTAAAACAAAGCTAAAGGGCTATGAGGTTAAGGAGAGTAATACAGTTAAAATAAAAGCTAGAAGGCCAGAGAAATGGCTCTGTAGTTAAAAGCACTGGTTACTCTTCCAAAGGACCCAGGTTCAATTCCTAGCACACATAGACACTCATAACCATCTTTAACTAGGAGATCCAATGGCCTCTCCTTGACGCCACAGGTACCAAGTGGCTCACATAGTATAGGCAAAATGCAGGTAAAATACCCATACACATAAAATAATAAAATAAGTAAAAAGAAAAAGAATATGTGTGTTATATTTTACTTTGTACCAATGTTTCCCACAAAGATTAATTTAATTTAATACAATTTGCTTTTATTTAAAAAAATGTTTTGTGAAAAAAATTCTAAATAAAAACTGATAGGGGCTGGAGAGATGGCTCAGTGGTTAAGAGCACCGCCTGCTCTTCCAAAGGTCCTGAGTTCAATTCCCAGCAACCACATGGTGGCTCACAACCATCTGTAATGAGATCTGTGCCCTCTTCTGGCCTGCAGGCAGAGTACTGAGAATACTGTATACATAATAAATAAATCTTTAAAAAAAAAAAAAAAGAACTGATATATATGAAAAATAGAAATTTATTACGTTCATAAACTTCATTTTATTGTATAGCAAAGAATTCTGACACACAATATAATCTCATACATACTATGGTCTCATAAACTATTTCATAACTAGCTTATAAAATATCACACAATGAGTTTGTTTATTTAATATATATTTATAAAAAAATATTTGGAACTTAAACTTACTATTTCTCTCTGTTCTCTTGGAAAAGAAGAAAATAAGCACAGTTCTTATGGTCCAGATGCTAGAGAGGAAGCAAAATTCAAAACAAAATCAGAATCCATAGACTTTAATTAGGGTTAGGTATTTCTCTCTACATATTAAAAGTCAAAAAGTAGTATATTCTATCAAGGAATCCAGTAGATTGCCTGAGCTTTCAACAGAGGAGTTCTTTACCTAAACTCCATAAAGGTTCCCTTGAATTATAAAACTGTCTTTGTATGAGTTTACTTCTCTAGAGAAACCATTGCTTTTGTCAGTTTCTAAGGGGCCTATGAATCCCCCAAGGCATGAAGAACAATATTACAGAATGCTTTCTTTTATTAATATTTATTTTATTTTTACTTATGTGTATTTGTATGTGCACATGTATAATGATGTCCATAGAAGCCAGAAGAAGGTGCAAGATACCTAGAGCTGAAGTTACAGTTTGTAAACCTACTAACACAGATGCTAGGAACTGAACTCAAGTCTCTGAAAGAACAGCACAAGTCTTAACCACTGAGTCATCTCTCCAACCTCAGGATGCTTTCTCTAAATAAGTATCAATTCCAAAGACTTTTCTTACATGTTCCCTTGTCGGAACAGGCATATATGTTCTCTTGTGTGAACAGGCAAGAATGTTTTGCTTTTCCAAACATGAGCATTATTACATAATCCATTGGAGAGTTCTTCTTTATGTAATAGAATAGGCTTTCTGGAGAAGGAAATGGAGGGGAGGCTTACTTTCAAATAAATACTTGATAAAAAAAAATTTAGCTAAATAACTCCTTTTAAGATTTCATAGTAGCTAAGCAGTGGTGTGGCACATGTCTTTAATCCCAGCAATCGGGAGGCAGAGGCAGGTGGATCTCTGTGAGTTGGAAGCCAGACTGATCTACAGAGAGTTCCAGGACAACCAAGGTCATACAGAGAAACCTTGCCTCAGAAAAGGGTTTTATGGCAATAACTCTTTAGGCTTTGAACTACTATCATATCCAAAAATATTAAAAGAATTAAGAGAAACTCAAAACTAATCCTATCACAACCTTGTCAAGGTCATCTCTTCAAGTCAATATAAATATAGAAAAACAGTAGGCCATGGCTCTGAGGGTAAAGTGCTGTGAACACCTGACAACAAGAGCGCACATAATCAGCCCCACAGTACTGTCCTCCTCAAGTGTGCCACGACATGTGTGAACACCCCCACACACATACATACACACAAATGAAAAGATTAAAAATTAAATGAATTATAAAAAGCAATGAAATTAAACAAATAATAATAAATAAGTGGATCTTTCAAATGAAACAGGCCCAGATGGATTACTAGTGAAATCTCCTGTTTTAAGAACAAACACTGAGCTTAAACTACTCCATAAAATAGAAAGGGGGATAACACTACCAAACTTTTTATGAAGCCAGTATTATCTTGATACCAAAACCAGAAAACAAGATAAAACAACAAAAGAAGAAAATTATAGGCTAGTTTCCCTAGTGAATACAGAAATATAAAAATATTTACAATTCAAAAAAGCATCAAAAAGATCATCTACCACATCAAGCTCTAGCAAGCAAACAGACAAGAGGGAACCCTTATGTACACTGTTGGTGGGAATGTGAGCTAATCCAGCCTGTAATTATCATGCAAGTTCCTGAAAAAATAACAGATCAACTCTAAGATGCAGGCGTATCAATCCAAAGTATTTATTAGAAGGTCTCCAGTTAGTCAAGAACACAGTTGGAGACATTCCATTCATCCCAAACAAATCTCCCACAAATAACTGGCTCAAAATAAAGTAAATATAATATATAGAAAGCCTTTTTTTATAAAACTAAAAAAAATACATTATATTTAAAAACTAAAATTAACTTCTTTCTTATCACCAAAATGCACTAAATTTTAAACCAGAAATTCAAAGAGACCGACATACTGGATCATAAAATAAAATCTAATCCTTAACATGAACTAACTTTCAAACTGTTTTCTCAGACTGAAAATCATGAACAGAGACATACCAGGGCCCAAAAAAGTAGAAAATTCTTATGTTAATACCACAAAAACAAAGACTTAACTAGACAAAGTTACTTATCTTTTTAATTTTACTACCACCAATTAGTTGTATAAAATAATGGGTTTCATTATAATGTTTCCTTACATATGTACATATTGCACTTCTAAAAGATCTATGAAAATAGTTTTTAAAGGTATGGCTCCTTTCTAAAAATTCACCCACTAGGCAGCATCTGGGGTTGGGGAGACTTCAACCAACATCTCATCAATTAAAAATACATTACAAACCAGTATAACATATTTCTTTTAAAAGGCTTGAAAAAAAAAACATCTCTGGGGAAATCTCTGGGGCATATAATTAAGGAAAAATTCTTAAACGTGATAGAAAAACAATATTCATAAAAATAAAACTGACAAACAGCATCTCATCAGAAAAATTTAAAACTTCTGTCATGGGGATCCTTGAGATGGGAAAGGTGTTTGCCATCAAGCCTAAGGACTAAGTGGAGGGAGAGAATCAGCTCCTCCAAGTTGTTCTCTGACCTCCACAGGGGTGTATTTGTGTGGAGAAAAGGAAGGAAGGGAGAGAATGAAGGAGGGAGGGAGGAAGGGAGGAAGCAGTAGGCTGGCCAAATGACTGAATTTACTTCAAAAGGCTGCCATGTTTGCCAGTCTTCTGACTAACTCAGGAAATACCCAGCGGTAGGAAGCATGAAAACTGTGTGTGATGGTTTGAATAAGAATGGTCCCCATAGCTCATATTTGAATACCTGGTCCTAGTTGGTGGAACTGTTTGAAAGGGATTAGGAGATTTGATCTTGTTGGAGATGTCAGTGGGGGTGAGCGCTGAGGTTTCAAACGCCCAGGCATTTCCAGTGTGCCCCTCTGCCTCATGGTTAAGAATGTTAACTATTCTTAACAGCTTCTAACTGAAGTGGGGAAAGAAAGAAAAGAAAAGAAAGAAAGAAAGAAAGAAAGAAAGAAAGAAAGAAAGAAAGAAAGAAAGAAAGAGGAAGATGACCACCTTTCTCGGTTCCCTTGCTTAAATTTCTTCCCTCAGAGTCCCAGAGAAAACAACAACAACAAAAAAGATTTGATATAATTAAAAAACAAATCCACCATGGAGGAAGACAATGGTTTATTCCTCTAGGGAGATCAAATTTTTAAAGTAATTAATTTCTAAAATTAGAGGGAATAAAATGTCTAGAAATTTTTATTAAGAAAGAAAGGAAATGAAGGATGGAGAGAGGGAAGGAAGGAAAAGAAACGGAACATGTCTGAAAGTGCTTATGACATTAAAAGGTAAGTAGCTGAGGTATGACTAAGTGAAACAGTGGTTGTCTAGCAAGCATGGGGCACTGGGCTTAATGACCACATACACACAAAAAACATCTAAAAGTTGTTCACTTTAAAATGAACCAATTAAAGCTAGACTGTAGTGATCTAACAAATAAAGCTTGCCTGATGATCAGAGTGCTGAGCTAAGTCACTAGTTAGCCATAGAGGCCAGACGGTGGTGGCACACACCTTTAATCCCAGCAGCACTCGGAGGCAGAGGCAGACAGATCTCTCTTAGTTCAAAGCCACCCTGGGCTACATTAGATTGATCCAGTCTCAAAGAGAAACAGATTCAGGTGATGGTGGCTTACACCTTTAATCCCAGTACTCGGGAGGAGGAGACAGAAGTGATATGACTGGGCAGAGAGAGGAATATAAAACAGGAGGAGACAGGAGCTCAGATGCAGTCCGATGCAGTCTGAGGATTTGTAGAGACAGGATTGTCCCTTCCATCGGAGCACTGGTAGAGGTGAGAACTCTCTAGTGGCTGACTGTTTTGCTTCTCTGGTCCTTCAGCTTTCACCCCCTAATATCTGACTCTGGGTTTTTATTATTAATGCCAATTAGAATTCGTGCTATACTCGATGCAGTTCAGTCATAGATAGACTATTTACCTAGCATACACTGAGGCCTTGGGTTGGAGACACACACATACACACACATACACACACACACACACACACACACACACACACACACACACCAAGCAGGCCTGGCTCTGCACGCTTTTAATGCAGCCACTCAAGAAACTAAAATAGGAAAATCTAAATTCCAGGCCTTGTTCAAGCTACAGAGCAACTTCAAGGTTAGCCTGATCATTTGAGCAAGACCCTGTCTGAAAATAAAAGCTAAAAAGGGTTTGAGGATGTAGCTCAGATAGAATGATTGCCTAATACATACATCCCTAGCACCCCTTAAAAAAAAAAAAAACTACTTACGTATGCATGTGCATGTCTGTCTGTGTATGTCTGTGTGTCTGTATAGCCAACTCAGACAGGCATGTAGAACATACCTATCTTCACAGCATTCAGGAGGATTACCAGTTGGAGGCCACCCTAGACTAGACTATGTACCGAGATATTATTTCTTTATTTCTTGAAGAAAACAGATCAATCAAGTCCAAAAAAATTGTACATCTGCAGAAATAAAAATGTCTAAGTATACCCAAACCTTCCCTCCCTGTGGCAAAGCCTAACGATGCCTATGAAACAAATGCTACATTCTGAGTATAACTTAGTGGGTTAGAGGGTAGAATATCTGCCTAGTACGTGTGAAGCCCTGGGGATTTGAGCCTTAGCACTGGGCATGGGAAGCGAAGGGGGTTCAATCTTATGCCGGGAATATGCCCCAGTAGTAGAGTATTTGTTTAGTATGTATAAGGCCTTGGATTTGATCCTCAGCACTAAAAAAGCAACGTTTAAGTTTAAAAGAATTGAAAAAAATTATATCCACTTAAGTCTATGTTCTAGGAAACAATAATGGAACCTAAAGTTCATCCGTCTTATAAACAAGGTGAAGACGGAGCACTGATACCCTACTACCAAGGGCAATTCTGTAACAGCTGTAACTGGACTGCAAAGGCTCTGTCTTGGCCCTTGACCTCTATAGTTGAGGCAGCGCCAAATACATAATAGAGATAATGGTCACATTTCGAACATATCAGACAAATTTCTAAGTGGTCTAATCAATAAAAATGTGAAGAATAAAGCAATACATTTTATTGCTCCTTCTGCTTCCAATACTTGAAGTAAATCCTAGTCCAGCCGTCAGAACTGCTCTCTAAGGAAAAAAGGCCAACCAAACTTAAGTAATAGTTCCTACTACCAATAAAATAACCCAGGTGATAACTCTTTATTTACCTCAGCATCCACTTCCACACCTGTATTGTTTCATGCTGACTGTCACTGCCTGGAAAGACAATCTATTCTTTGTTAGGTAACTTGGCCTGTGCTTCCCAAAGTGAAGAAAGAGCTCACTGAAACAGAAGCCACAACAGTAGAGAACGGGGTAACAATGAATGAGACGAAGTGAGGTGGTTCTGCAACTTATCAAACCAGAGAGCACTAACTACAGTGACACACAGCAATCAGAGAGCACAGTAACCAAATGCTTCATGGGTAGGCAAGATGACTCGGTAGGCAAAAGCTCTTGAAGCAGAGTAGGATAGCCCGAATTCAATCCCCAGGACCCACATGGTAGAAGAGAACTGCCACCCAAGAAGAATGTTATTTGACCTAAACCCACATGTGCAAACACACACACACACACACACACACACACACACACAAATAATGAATGAACAAATATAACTGTTCTAGCTGCCTTTCTGTGGCTGCTAAAACCCACTAACAAAACCCACTGAAGACAGGAACGCTTTGTTTGGTTTATACTCAAATGTCACAGTCCACCACTAAGGAACTCAAACAAGAACACGAAGGTAGAAACTGTGGAGGAAAACTGTTTCCTGGCTTATGCCCAGGCTCATGCTTAGCAGCTGTCTTCAGGCCAATCTGATCTAGACAACCCTTCAAGTGAGACTCCCTTCTCCGATGACTCTAGGCTATGTCAAGTCGACACTTAAACACTTAATGAAGTTTTTCTACTTTTAAAAATGATTCAGGCTAAGTATATAGCTAAGTGGAAAATAACTCATGTACTGGGTTCCATCCCAGGATCATCAAAAATAATTACTGTAATTATTTTAATAAAGTGATTGTTTCAAAAGTGATTCTTATGACTTAGTAACAGATCCAGCAAAGCACAATTTGGGGCAGCAGTTGAAATTAGCGGAGTTCTCTATCAGGGATCTATAAATTACCTTTTATAATCAGAAAATCAACTGCTCTATAGAACTGAATGTCAAGTAAGAGTAGTTTTCCTAGTTTTGTGAAAATATTTAAATCAAGTAAGTATCTCATACTTTTAATCTTATTTTCTCCTTTTTTATGAAAAATATAAAGGAAACAGTGTAAGAGTTCAGTATTATAAGTTCATCTACTTGAAATTTAAAAAGCTCCAAAAGATTTCTAAAAAGAAGGGAAACAAGCTAAGAGTGAGGCTGGTAGCATAGCTCAGAGACAAAGCTCTAGCCGAGGACATGACGAGGCCCCACAGTCAATGTCCAGAAGATTAACTGCAATGTTCCACATGAACTCAATTCCAGTTCTCAGATCTGAATATAAAAATAAACTTGTTCACCTCTGCACATGCAAAGTTGATTACTTTATGAGTTTGGGAGTTCAAATTTAGAAATATGTCCCAGACTAAATGCAAAACTAAAATCTTAAATTTCTTTTAAAAGTCTGCAGTTCTCCCGCAGAGACTCCAAATACACTTCGGTCTAACCCCTGGAGACTCACTCAGGCCTGGGTCTAAGCAAAGACCCAGTTAATCTGCCTGAGTTTCTGAACTTCAGAGCTCTGATATAATGGATATTGTTCTAAGCTGCTTAACTTGAGAATAATGGAAAACGTAACCAAGACTGTTTCTAGGACCTGTCCCCAAGCCTGGGTTAGGGCCCCTGTTAAAAGTTCCCATAGCATTTTGTATTTCTCTGTCATAACATTAATCACACTGATTCCTTAATATATATAAAACCTAAAATTTACAGCCAGTGATTTTTTTTTAATTTTGTTCACCATATACTATTATAACCCAATGTCTACACAATTGTTATTCATAAATGTTTGCTAATTAAATGAAAAAGACTTCTTACTGTTTCCCAAAATCCTCAGTTGAGATACACCTCCCATAAAGTGCCAGATTATGAAATAGTTAAGAAGAAATAATTAATTGGCTGATAGCAATAATTAAAAAGAGAGGCATTAGGATGAAAGATACATACTTGGAGGCATTTGGACACTTATTATTTTAGTATTACAAACCCTCCCCACTCATCCACACTCCATATATCATGCCCAATGCCTATAGCAGTAATTCTCAGCCTTCCTAAGGCTGTGACCCTTTAATACCATTCTTCATGTTATAGTGACCCCCAAAACCATAAAATTATTTTCACTAATTCATAACTGCAATTTTTCTGTTAAAAGTCATAATGAAAACATCTAATATGCAGGATATCTATTATGCAACCACTATGAAAGGGTTATTTGACCTCTGAAGGGGCCAATACCCACAGGTTAAGAACCATTGGCCTAGAGGAACTATGGTAGCCTAACAGAAAACTATAAAATATTACTAGCAACAATGGTGCTATCCCTAAGATATAGTGATATTTTATTTGTGTTTTAACAAGTAAAGCTTGCCTAAAGATCTGAGTGCAGAACTAAGTAAGCTACTAGAAGCCAGGTGGCGGTGGCCCACATCTTTAATCCCAGCATTAGGGAGGTGGACACAGGAAGGGATATAGCTGGGCAGAGAGAGGAATACAAGGCAGGAGGAGACAGGAGCTCAGACAGATGCAGTCTGTAAATGCAGTCTGAGGAGACACAGGACCGCCCCTTCAGTCTGAGCATTGGTAGAGGTAAGCCCTCTCTCTGGTGGCTGGCTCCCCTGCTACTCTGACCTCTCGGCTTTCACCCCCTAATATCTGACTCTGGGTTTTTATTAAGAACAACCCTTTAGGTTATAGACTAGAAATTATACAATTAAAAAAATAGTTATCAAACTATAAAAATAGTCCAAACTTATTCAATCTGAGACAATATCTTATAATAAAAAGAGAATGAATATATTAAAATTATCTGGTCAGAAAAAGAAAGGATCAACAAAAAGGAACTTTACTTACATGAAAGGAAAAGCGAAGAATGGGAGTGTCATGGCAAGCCTCGCTGTAAACTCGTCGGGAAGATACCACAGGTACACGATTAAGCACGTAAACAGATAAAGAACTGAAGAATAGATAATTAATCTTCCAACCCATAATTTTTGCAATCTCTGATTTTTTTCTCTAAATTCTTCCAATGCTTCAATTTCCTGTTAAAAGAGAAATATTCTGTATTATTAAATCTCATAAAGCATTTAGAAATTGAAATGAGAGAACTAACACGACAGAAAGATCGTACAAGAGTCCTAGGAGTCAAGGAAATTCAGTGTTCTACCATTTCAAAGCAAACATAAGGGAAGGAAAACTAAAAATGAACTTAAAAAATAAAAAGTTTTTCTCAACAAATTATTTTTAAACTGAAATATTAAATGTTATTTTTAATCTATTAAATTATCAAAGACTGGAGAAATAAAACTGATACCAGCAAATACTTATTGAGTCAAAAAAAAAAAAATAGCTCTCCACACATGGTTTTTAGAAATCTGGCAAGAAAAAAAAAAAAAAAGAATATAAATTGTAACAATGTAGGGCCAGGATGGTAGTATACACCTTTAATACTGGGGTAGAGGGAGGCAGATTTCTCCAAGTTTGAGGCCAGCCTGGTCTAAACAGAGAGTTCTAGGCCAGACAGGCAGAATAATATTAGCGAGATTGTCTCCAAATAAACAACAAAATCAAAACAATGGCTGAAACTCCATCATTCCAGTCTATTCACTACTTCCAATATTCCTAAGAACAAAATACTTTTTAAATAAGAGAAAAATGTCAAAGCTACAGAATTTTTGCTGACTGATAAAAGCTACACAGTAGCCAGCAACCTTTATTATGTTATCTGTTACATTCATTTACACCCCGTTAGCTCTAATTGCATTCCATCGGATTCTATTACTTGATACAGGCTTCTTAAGTCACTGGGAGACCAGATTTTTTTTTTTTTTTTTGAGATCATGTAACACTAAAGTTCTCAGGATTCCTCTATATTATCTTTAAGTTCCCATATCTCTTCTCTAACGTAAAATTATTAAAATATTAAGATAAAATACTAGAGTTAATGAACATACCTTATCTATATTTTCTAGAACTTCGACTGTTGAAGGTTTTGCCTGTTTTAGAAACAGAAATAAGGCATGGCATTAGAACTTGTTACTGCAAACTTAGAAACACTTGGCTTTACAGTCATTAGAACATTTTAATTCACAACTAGGTTTCTCAATGTTATCAAGCTATAGTTCTACCTGTTTTAACTACAATAGAAAAATTAAAATTACCAAACTATATAGTTGGGGGGAAGGTTTGTTTTTTTTCAAGACAAGGTTTCTTTGTAGAGGCAAACTATATAGTTGGGGGGAGGGTTTGTTTTTTCAAGACAAGGTTTCTTTGTACGGGCCTACCTTTCCTGGAAATAGCTCTGTAGACCAGGTGAGTCTTGAACTCACAAAGATCCACTTGCCTCTGCTTCCCAAGTGCTTAGATTATAAGGACTCCGCCTCCACTGTACAGCTAGGATTCTTAAAGTAACACTTTCCCTAAAACTTTCAACTGCGATAGTTCTACATTTACCATTCTTAACCTCAACAGAACAGACTTTTATATAAAGAAATAAATTTTCATCCAAAGGAATTAATATACCAAAATATTCACAGGCTAAAGATAGTTTAATTCAATAATGCTAAAAGCTCATTCACCTTGGGCTCTGCTAAGTACCACACTGTCTGATGCACTGAAGCACAAGAATTGCAGGTCTGATTCCTAAAGTACACAGTCTGGGGAGAGTTGTTTGTTTGTTTTGTTTTAAATGTGTATAGGTGTGTGCCTGCATGTATGTCTGTATACCACATGCATCCTGGTGCCCACAGAGGTCAGAAGAGGGCACTGGACCTCCTGGAACTGAAGTTATAAATAGTTGTGAGTGAGGGAAAGTGTATGGCTGCTGAAATTGTATGCGACCAGTACCTTAACCTCTGAGCCATCGCTTCAGCCCCAAATACACAGCTTCATAAAGATTAGATTTTTAGAGTATCTAAGAATAGTTTATAATAGCAGAGATTATTTGCCAAATACATTTTTATATAAGCCAGAATGATTTAAATGACAATTGAGAAAATATTTATCGAGACAGTAACAAATATCAGTGCTAAAGTCCCTACTAGAGTTGTTTATGTAAGGCTGAACCACACAAAACTGCCATTTTTTTTTTTTATGTCACAGCAGAATACTGGCAACTTCATATAATCCAAACAAATAAAAACAAAGGAATAATAAAATTCTCGGTCTGTCAGATTTTTAAAGAAAGTCATTTCACACATCACTGGGATGGAAAAAAGCTGATCCCATAGGAGTAGAAAATGAAAAGCTACCAGTCTAGGGAAATTGGAGGTAGAGAGCTACAGGGGGTCAGAGGATACAAAACACCATATAGAATACATTCTACAGATCCACACAGCATGGGGACTATAGCTTATGGTTTATTTGTGTTTTAAGTATGCACATACACATTTATGTTTGTGTGTACTCAACGTGAGTACAGGGGACATGGGAAGCTAGAGGTGCCACATCCCTAAAACTGGAGTTCCAGGCAGCTGTGAATAACCTCTCTAGGGTACTACAAACTGAACTCAGGCTTTACAAGAGCAACAGGTGTTCTTAACCCCTTAACCATCTCTCTAGTCCTGATATACCACATTCATGAAAAATGCCAACAAAGGGAATGTTAATTATGAGCTAATGCATATGCTAATTAGCTAGATCTAAATAACATAATGTACATACTTTAAAATATCATGTTGCATATAATAAATACATGCAATTTTACCTGTGAATTTTTAAAAAAGGGGGAGTCAATTTAGCACTAATCTAAAACATGGATTAATCTAACAAGTCAAAAGCTAAATCATATATCACTAGTCCCTATTATATGAAATAAGAAAATTAATTTGTCCTAGACTATATAATCTCTTCTTACATTAGAAGAGTATTTAACAGTGTAATTTGAATCTCTAACTTTGAGATACTTCCTCTAAAAGCTTAACAAAATCTTCATTTTTAATTTTGTTCAACCTATAACTCTTAAAAGCATATTTAGTGTGACATTAGTGAATTTATACGGCATGCTAAAAAGAAAAATTCCTTAAGTCCCAGCACTAGGAAAACAGAGGCGAGGCAAATTTCTGTGAGTTCAAGGCTGCACAGTGAAACTCTGTCTCCAAAATAATTAATTAAATAGACAGATAAATAAGCAAGCAGATTATGCAGTCTATAAAAGCCATAACTACAACATAAAACAAATTCAACTATTTTTAGAATAAACTTGGGATTTGGGCAATATAAGAAGAAAACTACTTGCATAAAATACACAAATAAAAATGAATTTCTAGAGTCATTAGATACCCATAAAATAAACAGAACTACCATAATGTCCAAAGAAGTAACTCTAAATGGAGTTAAATGAGATTAAATATATAGTATCAAACTCACTGAAAAGTAAACCCCAAAGGAGACCTTTACAAAAACCTTTATGTAACATTTTTACGACAGCCTTGAAAACTTGCAATACAGAAAATATGTTTTCTTACCCTCCATCGAGAAAACAGTCCACCCATCTTCTATTTGGAGAAAGTTGGCACAATAATAAATATCATGGGTTGTCCAAAAGAAGTCACAGCTAAAAACAAAGCAAATAGATTAAAATTTTAGGTTGAATACACAGCACATTCTCTCTAAAACTTTCATGTTGCAATACTACATTAAATACCACAAAGCGTCTGTGGGCCTCCACTCAACGGAAACAGGCAGCCACTGGCATATTCAAAGTGAGGACACATTTGAAGGCAAAAATAGAGCTGGACACTTAATGACACATCACTTTAGAAGTATACACATATCTACAAACTTTCTATTTTTTAAAGTAGTTTCCCTATGTTGTTCTTGTGATAAAAGAATAAATCCTTCAATAGTTTGAGCTTTAATTACTTTGTTAATTAAATATATCAATAGTTTGTCACAGTGCAGTCTTTACTGTAATCATCTTGGAGATAAGAAAACTCAGTGACACTGGAGTTAGTGACTTGTCCAATAGCACCTAAGAAACATGTCCTAAAGTTCCTTTATCTTCAGACTTCAGACCTTGAGACCTATTTCTAACAACACTGCTGTTCAATACCCAGCTAAGCATGTGTGACTGAAATTCTAAGACCCTCAGACTTAGATGACCTTCATTTCAGTTAGCTGTGTATTCCCTTTATTTATCTGTAATTCTCAAATATTGCATAAAAACTTAAAAATGATAATATATAAGTCAATTTAACAGATAAGTATATAATTTCTACTCTTTTAAGTTGAAACAGTAATTTTTTTTTCCTTTGGTTTTTCGAGACAGGGTTTCTCTGTGGCTTTGGAGCCTGTCCTGGAACTAGCTCTGTAGACCAGGCTGGCCTCGAACTCACAGAGATCTGCCTGCCCCTGCCTCCCAAGTGCTGGGATTAAAGGCGTGCGCCACCACTGCCCAGCGAAACAGTAAAATTTTACCTTCAAACTGAAGTGTTCTTATCAGGCTACAAATATATGCTTATCAGTATGTAAAACTACTTCATTATACACTTGTGCACACACTTATTTTCATATATCCCCATATCTTAACCATAATAAATAATTATCAGCACCCAGGAAGAATTTCAACACTATTTTTATATAAAGATTAGCTCAAGGCATACCTATTTTAAGAATTTCTTTTCTTAGAAAGTAAGGAATGCCTGATTACCAAGTGCTTTCATTTACAAAGTGACTCTTCAGGACACAAATATGATCTGTCCTAAGGTGGTCTGAAGCAACAAACAATTTCATAAACTACAATTAAATTGTAAACAATATTAATCCTGCAATACTAGCTCAGTATTAAAAATTCTAAGCTGTAACTATGAGGTATTTGGGAGCTCTAATAAACAAAAAGGAGTCATATCTGGGACAAGATATTAAACAAATCTTAAAACCTCCTTAAGAGGCTAAAAATAGTCACCAAGAAAGGTAGAAGGAAAGACATTCACATGAACAAATTAATTTGACATTCTCAAATTACACATCACCCCACTGTTTTGAAACTAGTATGTGCTATCTAACAATTTTTCATGAACAACTGGACTACTAAGATCCATTTCCGAAAGAACTATATCCTTCCAAGTCAAGTCTGTAGCCATCACACCTTGAGACCAAATTTTCTGTTTTGGATTGGTTTTGGGGGACAGGGTCTCCCTATATAGTTTAGCCTACCCTCAGGTTCCACCTTCCTGCTTCAGCCTCCTGAGGACTGGCATTACAAAACCGCATCATCATGCCCTGCCTGGCTCAGACGGCTTTTTACTGTTGGAAATTAATGGCAACATCAACTACACACTTAGCACTAAATCTCTAAGGAGCCCTAAAACAGATGGTTTGCAAAACTTTTATCATTTAGATACTGTCCCTCCACTCCACAAATTAAGACCCTGAGCCTACAGAAGTAATATGTAAGCTCCGAAGATAGCAAGTAGCAAAACCAAACATTGCACTTTAGCTTTTATTTTTTTAATGCAACCAGTTATTCCCAATAGCATAAAATCAGAAATGGAGAATACTTAAATAGCATAGGCTGGAATATATCTAAATATTTTGGAGTATCTATGTATAAGAAGAGACAGACAGATAGCTGAGGATACAGGTCATAAGTAGAGCACTTGCTAGTACATGTGGAGTCCTGAGCTCAATTCTTAGCACTGTAAAAAATAAAAACAAAAACAAAGTGAAATAAAATATATGAAAGCACCTTGAGCCTTCTCAAATAGTTGCCAAGAAGAGCTGCTAAAATGGAAAATGAGTTATAAACACAAGAGACAGTGTTCATGGCAATGTATCAGGTTGCCCAGTTCCTTTATCTGGTTAAATTTCAGTGCTAAAATCTGCATTGAGAGAGGTTAAACTGCTGGCTAAATTTCTAGGACTCCAGGCAAAACTTTTAGAGCTACGGGCCTAAAAAGTCATTACTGTAACTTTTGAATGAGTATATTAACTATACGCATAAATCATAATAAATATCTATTTTATATCAAGTATTCATCTCCAGAATGTTTTGTGTTAAAAAAAATTAGTCTCTCGTCTCTCTAAAGAAGTTGTACTTTTAAATTTACCCTCTGAAATATTAGTTAGTCATTAAATCCATGCTTTCATACTTATAAGTAAAGAATCAATTCTTATAGATTCAGAAATTTTTCTGTTAAATTACAATATCATTAAAGAAGCTGGTTGTTATAAATGATATGCATGTACACCAGCTTTTAACAAATAGGAAACACAAAAAGATTAAATATTTTCTCCTGTATTAAGCTCATTTTTCTCTCACACTGCTTTTGTCCTTTCCATCCAAACATTTTAACTCCAATTCTGATTGCCCATCATTTCCTGGGAAACATGCGCAAATAAATCACTTAAACATCCCTTTTTGTCAATTTCCTCATCTGCAAAGAGGGATAGTTAGAATCTTCTTAAATGCAGAAAGACTTAACGTCCTACACTATCTGCTCCAATCCCTGATAACGTGGTAATTACTAAGAATAAATTGTTTCTCTGACTGTAGTCCCTTCCATTTTCTAACCCATCTCTACTTTCTTGTCAAGTAATGCCAGCATTTCTTTAATAAATCACTCACTTGCCATTAAATGAACCTCAGCAGCTGTCCCCAACCTGTACCATCTCTTTCCAGCTCTGATATTACAATAGGATTTAGCATGTTTGATCATAGGGATTGAGCGCACCCACATGTGTTTTAAGTTCACTTAATTTTACTTGTTTGAGCATTTTGATGCATGTATATGTGCACCATATGTGTGCCTTGTGCCCAGGGAAGTCAGAAGAGGATGTTACTAGGATATTAGATACTCTAGAGCTAGGATGTGAGATACCCCAAATCTAGGATGTTAGATACCCCAGATCTAGGATGTTAGATACCCCAGAGCTAGGACCTTTAATAACCTAGAGCTAGAATGTTAGATACCCCAGAGCTAGAGTGTTAGAGACCCCATAGCTAGGGTGTTATAGAGACCCCGGAGCTAGGGTGTTAGATACCCCGGAGCTAAGGTGTTAGATACCCCAGAGCTAGGGTGTTAGAGACCCCAGAGCTAGAGCTGCAGATGGCCATGAACCACCACGTGAGTCCTCTGAGTGCTCCCAGCCTCTAACCCATCTCTCAACTCCCTAAGTGTGTTTCAATAAGCAGCAATGCCTACCAAATTACATGATATTGTCTATTGGTATTCACACTCAGGTGGAAGTGACAGAACTTAAAATCTTAAATGTTTTTCTTGAATTCTCAACTCATTCCAAATGACATCAAAACAATGGGACAATGATTCAAGACATGGCTCAGCCACATACTAGCTATATGATTTTGGGTAAATTACTTAAACTCTCTAAGCCTTGGTTTATAAAGCAGTAAATATATTTACATTCCATGGAATTGTATAAATTAAGTGAACACACAGTGTTCAGCACATACTGTTTAATAAATTGTAGCCATTACTACTGCTATTAACAAAACACCCACATGTAATATTTAAATGAAGTACATGCCTAAATTTTTAAATGAGCATTTATTACATACCTTAAAATGTTTACAAATAAGTTTGTATCTTTACTGAAAGTATTTTTCTCACTTACTGTAGCATGAAAACAAAGAAGGCTATTTTTCAGGCTCTTCTCATTAGAATAAACTCGCAGGCCTTCATAGAATACAGCAAGGGAAGTTAAGTTGTGTGTTTGTTTAACTGAAGTCCGAAACTTAAATATAAACTAGTCACCTTAATGCAATTTGTTCAAAAGCGCTTTCAAATATCCAAACAGGCAATTCGGAAGTATCTTACACCAGGTTTATTGCCCGAAAATAAACGAAAAGAAACACACCTCTAAAAGCATTTCAGATGCGTGAGATGACTGCCACAAAAGGAAAAAGAAAGGTGCAGGGAGATTTCTCTATGAAATCATATATTTATGATAGTCACCTGCCCTTCCTTGCATTCTTCCAACATTACAGACAGTACGTTTATTAACAGCGCCGTTGTGCTGACACTAGATGTCAAGGAACTTTTTTAAAACTCTACGTTTAAATGAGCCGCTCTTGTTTAAGAAAATGTATTCAACATCAACCCCGTTCCTCTGAGACACTATGGAGACCTTTGGGGACCAGGGATTAGTCTTGCCTACCAGCTTCAACATATGCCTGAAACTAAATTTACTCCCAAGCCATTACACCTCTAGACAATTTTGTCAACGCTGAGACCGAAGTTACTGAGACAAAAAACAACAGACTCTAAGCACAACAAACCAGAAGCCAAAAAGGAAGAGCAGAGCATGGAAAACTCGGTGAGTCACAGGTGTTGCTGACAAGTGCACACAAAACTTAAATTCACCAATCCGAACTCTCCCGTCCGAAAACACGTCGTCAAAGGCTTAAATCCACTGACCCGTCGTTTGGAGTAGCTTCGCTGCGGCCGCACCTAACACCATTCAGCTTCGTCTTCTCCCCTTCACCCCTCCGCCGGCCGCGGTCCCTCTAATAAATAAGGACAATGGCCGTGGAGCTGCTCCTCTAAGGCGCTCCCAATCCACGCCCACACGCGCGGACTGAGCAGCGTGACACTGACAGTTTTCAGTCCTTCCCATCCTTGCCAGCTCAAGGGGCCGCGGAGGGGATCAGAGCACTCGGGGTGGCGATTTCAGCTACGGGGGTGCTTGCTGGGGCCTTCGGGCACTTCTCAACACAGGTATGGCCATGAGTTCGGGCTCCAAACCACCGCCACTGCGTCAGGATCCCTGAGAACCTAGCCCGGAGAACCCCGGCCTGGGGGAGGCAGAGCCGGGTCTCGTGCGCTCCGGAGCCGCTCGGGCAGCTGGGCTGGGGATCCACGGGAGAAGGTGAGCACCGTGTACGAGGGCTCAGCCCCGCCGCGTGTCCCCAGCCACTACCGAGCCCTAGGCCACTTGGCATGGGCGGAGGCACCCGGGTCGGCGCGCAGGGGAACCGGGGCACCGATTCCCGCAGCCCGGAGCCCGTCTACGCGGCCCTCCCCTTCACCGTCCTACCTGAGGAAAGCGGGAGCCGCCCAGCCCCGGCGTCCGCTCCGGCAAGCCCCGGTGGCCACAGAGCAGCCCGCCCCCGAAGCAAGCCGCAGCAGCTACTGATAGAGCGCTGGGCCCGGCCAACGCCTTCCCATCAAACCCCGCGCTCCCGCCGCCAGCCAATGGGCGCCGCGGCCGACGCGCGCCGCTCCCCCGTCACGTGATCCGGCCGGCTCGGCCGTTGGTGTCTACGAGCGACGCGTTTGGCCCGAGGGTTCCGGCTGCGTCTCTTCCGCGGGCTGGGCGGGCTGTCGGTTCCTTAGGTCGCAGCAGGGTATGGCTGTTCCGATGACTCTTAACTAGGGCTTGATTCTTGTTCTTTCTTTGCCTCCTTTGCTTTTGAACAACCTCCCTCCCCTAAGTATCTCCAGGAAAAGAAACCCATCCTGATTGTCCCAGACCTGAGCGAGAGAGAAGACTGGAGAGGACACAGAAGAGGGGTGTTGACGCTCTAGGCTAGGCAGCGGAAAGGTTTACGCTACATAGCTCAGAAGAGACCAATCCCAGTCAGGCCACTGGAGACACGTATTTATTGCCTGCTTGGACCCCCTGGAGGCTTCTGTTGCTCGTGGACGTCAAAAGGGGCCTTTGATGACTGGACGGTTACCTCACCAGAGTGAGATGAGCTTCAAACGCAAAGGATGGCCCTTTCAAACCTGTGGGTAGCAACAAAGGCCGAGCTTTCCATCTGTAACACTCTTCACTTCAAGAACACTCTCCAAACGCTCCGCTTAACTGGGCCAGCATAGAACCATCGGGCAGTATTTCCACTGCCTAAGGAATGTTAAGTTCCTAGTCAACTGCGTCAGGATCAGTGATAAATGACACCTGAATGAGGAAGGGGAAAAGCTAGAGATGTGAACCCATAACAAGAAAGGAAACTTCAACAAAGGCTTTTATGTTTTATCCTGTGTGTCATCATTTTTATGGGTTCTTCAACTTTACTAAAGAAAATGTTTCTGATTTTCAAAACATAAGTATAATATGCTGTTTCCAGTGACGACGCAGGCAAAGAAGGATGACATAGACATAGTGTATCTAATAAGATGACTCTCTAAATACTAAAATCTATAATTACAGCTCTGTTAAAATTGGAGGAGAGAGCTAAACTTTAACGGGCAGTGTGGGTCACCTAACAAATGTGGAAGAAAATGAACACCATTTCACCGGGTTTGATCTGGAAATTTTACCATTTTATTTCCTAGCCTTTGTAGTTTCTAAGTCTCTAAATCTTGTGCTGCTGTGCAGTTGCTTCTTGTCTCGGATCTTTCCTCAAAGGAACAGGAAAGAACATGTCTGACTGTTGCTAACACTTCGTCCTCTAGTTTTTCTTGAGCCATCATGGTCTGTCGTAAAGGGAGTTTCAAAATAAATCAGGATGAGACAGAAGAGCTAGCTGGATACATGAGACTCTAAAAAAAATCTAATCCTGGGAGAAAATATCCTACAGGAATTATGCTAGAATTTAACCTAACTCATTCAAAAGGAAAACATAACCTCCAAATCATTCCCCCCAAATCTTTCTAAGTAAGTATCGTTTTTCAAATGAGGAAACTGAAAGTAGAAAGACATGTACACTGTTAAAGGTAGCACTATACCACTTTGTCTTCTATATGGAGAGGTTAGATCTGCACTGAGGATATAGCTCAGTGGTAGTAAGTACACTTATCTAGTGTATTCGAGACCCTGGGTTTTGTCCTCAATATCATGAAAGAAATGAAAAAAGAAGGAAAAAGGAAGAGTGTGTCAAGGGTCAATGAGGGAAGGCAAACAGAAAACTAAACATGGGGTATATTATGAAATATATCTCATATATATGTGAAATCCAGAGAATACTTTGAGAGAGGTAACAAACTATTCAAGCTGATGGAATCATAAGTGGTCTAATTCAGCCAAAAAAAACCAATTTCCTTAAGTGTTATGAAACCTTACAGAAGGGGTATTTATCAGTCTGGTCAGAGGTGTTAAAGAAAGCTTTCTTAAGAAAGCCACACTCAGATCTGAAGAATAAGAGACATAGTGTGGAAAACACAAGGAATGTCATAAGCAAAGGCCTTTTGTTAGAAGCAGGCATTGCAAGCCTAAAAGACTAAAAGGAGGCCATTGTGGCTGGATCATAGATACGGGGAGACAGTGAGTGATACAGTGAAACTGGGCACCACACTAAAAGATGTTTCCCTGGCCTTGTTTTTAAAAAAACAAAGTTAATCCTTTTCTTGAGAAAAGAGCAGATTTGATAGGATCAGAGCAAAATCATTCCAGCTACAGTGTGGGGGCACAAGCACTGTCAACACTGGACAAGCTAGAGTCTACAAGTGATGGGTGAAGTTGGACATAGTTCAAGTGAAATGAGATAAGAACAAAGAAATGGAAATACGTAGTGCAGATGGAACAAATTAGAAAGTAAAATGAGAGGTCTCGGTGACAGATTGAGATCAAGGCTTAAGAACAGAGAAATTAAAAATAACTTGGTTTCTGGTGGTCCCATTAGATTGCTACTAATGCCATCATTGAGATATGGGGAACACTGGGAAAGAACTAGAGTTAGAGAAAAATGGTGATTTTGGCGTGAACAAAGAGTTTAGGATGTTTTTACGACTTCAAAGGAAGTATAAACATTGGATTTATGGGTCTGAAACACCAGAAAGTCAGGGCTAGACAAAAATGTGTTACCCTTTCTGCAGGGTTGCCACTTTCTTTTCAATGAAGCTGTTCTTACTCTAAGCTGTTTGTCTTTACATTTAGAATAGAAAATACAAAGTAGAAGTCCCCATAGCAGAGTCCCAGGTTTCTCTGAGAATCACCAGGGACTCTTGTTAAAAATCTAAATTCTCAGGCTCCCCGTTAGAGATACTTGTCTGTTGTGGGGCCTGAAGTTTAATAAGGGCCACTATTGATTCTTTTTATGACTAAGTTTACTCAAGCCATGGCACTATGATGTCAGAGACTAACTGCATGAGAATCACCAAAGTACTTATTAAAATACAGGCTTTTCTCACTGGGAAACAAACTGCCCTTAAGGGTAGACTGCATGCGCAGCAGTAGATGGCCAACAGAAAGCAAACTCAATGACATCTTTCAAGGTTCCTTTCCTTATAATGTCCTGTCTGGGCCTTTTCTTCTTTTTCTACTATTTTTCTTTTTACCCTTCAGGCTCTCTGTATCTATCGTAGCTTCTAGTTTTGTGTTTTATGGGATCCTGAGTGTTCAAACGAGTGGGTCTCTGCATTTTTATCTGTTTCTTGTGCCTTTTCTTGGACTCTTTTCCTGTTGTTCTTGTCCTACTCCAATTGCTTGGTTTTCTTTTATATTGTGTTACCCCATAGATGCCTGTTTGTTTTCTCTTTTGAGAAAAGAGAAAATGAGAAAAATCATTATTCTGAATGTGCTTTGGTGTTTTGTCTGTATGTATGAGAGTATCAGATCCCCTAGAACTGGAGGTACAAACAGTTGTGAGCTGCCATGTGGGTGCTGGGAATTGAACCCTGGTCCTCTGGAAAAGCAGCTAGTGCTCTTAATCACTGAGCCATCTCTCCAGCGTCCACCTGTTTTTTTTGTTTGTTTGTTTGTTTTGTTTTGTTTTGTTTTCGAGACAGGGTTTCTCTGTGGCTTTGGAGCCTGTCCTGGAACTAGCTCTGTAGTCCAGGCTGGTCTCGAACTCACAGAGATCCGCCTGCCTCTGCCTCCCGAGTGCTGGGATTAAAGGCGTGCACCACCATCGCCCGGCTCGTCCACCTGTTTTCTAATGAGAAGCAAAAGTGGAGTGGGATTCAGATGGGACGAGAAGTAGGGAGATGCTGGAAGAAGTGGAGGGAGGGAAAATGGTAATCAAGATATAGTGTATGTAAAATCTATTTTTCAATAAAAGGAAAAACAGTTATTGAGATGCTGGGAATGTAGCTCATTGGTCGATCACGTGCCTAAGCATGTACTACAATATAGGTTCCATTCATTATATGTTAAAAGTAAGTAAATAAATGGACAAATAAAATGGAATTAAGAAGTTACAGCCATTTCTCTTTTTTGCATTCTTCTGCTTTCGTTTGTTTCTTAATATGTTTTACATTGTTGAAAATACAAGGCTCAAACATGATAGCATGCAATCTGAGTTATATTACCAATTCCTGTCCATTGTTCTCTGTGAAGTTTAGAAAACTGTCTTGTTGCAAATAGCTATCCTGTTTTGTCCTTATTTCCCTACTTGTATTTACCTGATTGCACAGTTTCCCTCGCTGCTGCTGAGGTGATGGATCACTTAGATGACTTTTGAAGAATGAAACAGACTTGCGCAGTGAGAAGCGATCTCACTGCCTTAGCTTCGTACTTCTTTGTACATAGTTGATTTTATTTAGTGAGAATTTGGTTGGGGACACGCATACCCTTAACACTTGCTTATAAGTCAGAAGAGTCGTGTATGTGTGAAGTGCTTCTGGCCTTGGCTTTCTTTCCTGTTGATCTGCCACAGTCTTCGATATTGCTGAATTTGATATGCTGTTTTGCTTCAAATGTATAGAGCTTTCACAAAGGTGTGGACTTGCGATGATTTTTCTGTTAAGGTCTTTTGTAAGAGAATCTTCTGTCTATATGTCACTTTCATTGATCAAATAAAGAAACTGTCTGGCCTTTTGATAGGACAGCAGCTTAGATAGGCTGAGTAGACCAACCAGAATGCTGGGAGAAAGAAGCAGAGTCAGGCAGATGCCATGATTATCCAGCCCGAGACCGGTGTAAGGTTAGAATCTTGCCAGTAAGCCATAGTCTCGTGGTTCTACACATATTATTAAAAATGGGTTAATCAAGATGTGAGTTAGCCAATAAGAGGCTAGAACTAATGGGCCAGGCAGTGTTTAAATGAATACAGTTTCTGTGTTATTATTTTCAGGACTAAGTTAGTCATGCGGGAGCCGGGCGGGACAAAAAGCAGGCCCGCAGTTCCTTATTATAACAGTCTTTCTCTATGTTTAGTAATAAGGAAAGCCTAACTAGCCTCATAAAATGAGTTACAGGATATATTTGCTTTTCCATGGTCAATTATCATTTTTTGCCTTTTATTTGCCTTATTTTTGGAATCAGGTTTTCCAGAACCTCACCCAAAAAAAAAAAAATACA